TACACTTTTATATACATACATTTGTTCCACGTAGTCTCAATTACAATTACAATTATATTTTAGGTCCCTCAACTCAATTACAATTATAATTACATTTTTATTTAATTACAATATAATTACAGTTTTAAATTATAGTTACACATATAACGTATAAACATTAATGACTCAAATAGATTATTACTAAGACAGCACTGCTCTGGCCAAAAATTTTTCCTCTTATACTAAATACCCCTTTCACAGTCTCTGACGATGCATGAAATGGCTAAATTAACATTTGCTAGTTTAGCAAGGATTCGATATGCATGTATAAAAGTCAATGGTTTAGTTGTCTCCTTTGGTGTAAATGTGCCTCATTAGATGATGTAATTTATCATTATTTACAATTACAATTACAATTACAGTCCATAGTTTGAAATACATGTCAATTACAATTACAAATACAATTGTAATTGACCCCAAGTCTGTTCCCAGGAGAATCTTCAGTTTGAAATTGCTGATATTTGTATTGAGTTTTGCTAAGGAAAATACAGATGCTATAGTTTGTAATTATTATGGTGGAGACCAGATACTATTAAATTTGTGTCACGTGTAAAACTCTTCTACAATTTGTATGTGATTTATTAAGTTCAAAAAGTGTGAAGTTTAACAATTATTATTGATTTTTATTAAAAGGGCAAAAATTCACAATACTGAGCTATACTCAAAATTTGGATTTACCAAAAAATCAAAAAATTAAGTCCCATCTACACATACAAGCCAATTTAACTTGAAATGGTTCAGAAACCAGCTCAATTATGTGCACACTTAACTGCATGTTGTTAGAATCTGTTTATTAGTACTATAGTGCATGACCTTTATTCTACAAGATTCTAGACAAGGAGAGAGAGAGGGAAGCCTGGAAGAAGGAAGATAGAGAAAGGGGAAGTAAAGTCAAAGGGGGAGCAAAAGAGAGTGACAAAGGGAAAAAGATATATGAGGGAGGGATAATAATTATTGATTCCAATACGTTAATAAATGTACAATTGATTTTTTTTACTGTCTTATGATGAAATATAGACCACAGCCATTCCATCCTAGAAGCTGCAATGACTTACTGGTACAAAAACCAGCATCACCTGGAACAACACACAAACAAACATCAATTATAATATTATCATTTTACCTATTATACTGTATTAAAATAATAATATACACACATTAACTGACTGACTGTGTTTATTATTAGGAGAAGAGACTGGAGAGGTGAAATGGACCAGTGATAGAGTAACCCTCACTAAACCATCAGCAGGTCAATGTCAGGAAGTGATCAGTCAAATAACAGACAATCATCAGATCATTAACATCAGTCACTCATCACCTGATATTGTATACCTGCTGATGTTACTAGCACTAGGCATAAGAACAATAAAGAGGATTGGTATAAGGTACGCTAAAATAACGAAAGATTTCATCCTCTTACTGTCACACAAAATAACAAACAATACTTCATTAAAGACACTATGGATCAGTTCAAATTCCATCAATGATGATGGAGTCATTGCACTAACGCGATCATTAATTAATAATAAAACAATCACTAGCTTATATCTTGGTTACAATCCTGACATCACTTCAACCAGTGCTCAGTCACTAGCTGAACTTCTATTCTACAACCAGATACTATCTTACCTTTATCTCAACGGTATTAACATTGATACTGATGGAGTACTGGTACTGATGGAATCTCTTAGGACCAATAATACACTAAGGAGACTATATCTAGACAATAAACATAAACAAACTTGTTATTTTTTACCTTATTATAAAACTATTGAAAACAGGTTAGTATTTTATTGATTATTTCATAAAATTTTTTATACTATCTATTTTGTTTATCATAAAAAAGCTAAATTTGTGTAATCAAGAGTCCAGGAACTCTTGGTGTAATTAATTGTACCATTTGGAGTAATCATAAAGCTACCTAGCATTATTGATCCACATCTTTATTGAACCACATATATAATTATTTTGTCTAAAGCAACTACCAATTTCATTTTCATTACAAATAATAACAAAATTAATGCATACATATATGTACCTTAAACAATGTCTCTAAACAATCCTCATTACTTTTATGTACCTGTACTTAATGCACTCTTAATGGTCGTATTGCCTTCTTTTTATTGCTTCACAGTTGCAATTCCTTCTTTAAAGATACACATAATAAAAAAATGATACTGAGAAATCTATAGGTGTGCACCTAAATGTATCAATTAAAACTTTTATATCATGTCATAAAAAATTCTTTCATATTTGGTGCAGCTGTCTTAAATGATTACTGATAAAAAATTGGAAACTGAGAGAAAATGTCTCACAACTGAGCATAAAAACTATTTGTCTAAAGCAGGGCAAATTAAAATGAAGATGAAATTATTTTTTCTCTGTACAAATTATGTTCAACAATAAAATCCTGTTGCTAAAAGGCTAACCACAATCACTGAACAAGGGTTCATCAAATAAAGTTTTATTTTTTAGCACATTCCAATATGTTATCATATAATGTGACTTCTATTGCTTCAAAATGAAGCTTAAAAATCAGAAAAATAAAGAGATCCTTGAAAGACCAATGTTAGTGTTAATATAAAATGTGGCCAGAAGGAAAGTATGGTTATTAAGTATTGAAAATAATTTTTTTAATATTTGTAGACATTAATTTTCCTGATTATGAAAAGTACTTCATGAAGAAACTCTCAATTGTTTTCAATCAAAAAACTGCCTTAATTTTTAAGGCTCATCAATGACATGATTGTAATTCATCTCTGAAAATGATAAATTTAAACAATGATTAGATCTTTAAAATTATAACTAGCATCTGTACAGTACAAATAATAAAATCAGCCATTAATTACAGAATTGATTGGCAGAGTAAGACTAAAATCATGTAAGGTGCAGCATATCTCTGGAGCACTCATCTGAGCTCTATGGTGCCATTTTTCAGCGCTCATCTCCTGCTCCGGACTCCGGGTAGTCTTACTACTGTTGATTTCATTTCCATTTGAATAATGGATGCAGGGATGCATTATTATCCATTATCATTAATGTATCCGTTATTAATGGAGTCGTTATTTAGGACCCCATGATTCCTATGCATATGCACTGTTCGAACAGAAGTGAGATCAACAGTGTCTCTGGCTCCAGCTCCGGGTTTCAGCAATCATCTCTGGGTCACCGAAGCTCCAGTTTTTAGCACTCATCTCCAGTTCTGACTCTGGGTTTTAGCAGGACCCAAGTGAGAAAGAGAAGGGAAGAGAGAGAAGGTTGGGGGAGGGAGCCAGAGACAGTGAAGGAGAGAGGGAGGGAGTGAGAGAGGGGGAGAGAGAAAAGGAGAGAGAGGAGAACAGAGTAAGGGAATAGAAGGATGGAGGGGACATTAGTATGATATGGGTGCTCCTCCTAGCAAACATCAACCACAAATACTTATATACCTGGTAAAGTCACTTCTTTCCCTAATATTCCATTTGATATCAGACTCTCCACTAGCTCCTTACACTGAGCCCTTTTGTCTTTACTACCCTCTAGCTCTTGTCCTCCAGGTCTGATAATAATTAAATTTGGAGGATAATGATACAGAATTGATCAGACCTATTAATGATCAAATTAAAATATCTTTTCATCTTGTCTCTCATTTCTTTCCTCCTCTTTCTCAATGTCATTTCTTAAATTCTTTCCTCTTGTTCTCTCTTGTCCTTTCTCTTAGTATCAATCTCTCCTTTCTTTACTTATTCCATCATCCATGAGTCAGGGAGCCCCTCATATTCATAACTTATACCAGTGGTACCTCCTCTGATGGAAGACATCTTTAATATGCATAGTACATATACACGTCGTACATGTATGTACAGTTTTATTACATTACTTTTATGATGTTCTAGCATGCCTTTTTGTAACTGACCAGTCAGATTGTTGTGTCGGAGGTAAGTAAATATATGTAGTACATACAGTACATGGGTAGGAAGGAGACACTTTTATGATATTCTTACATGAACATTCAATTTTCATTAAAATTGGTTAAGTGACAATCCTACATTTTGATAGATTATTTAAACACATACATTGTCCTGATGTTACAGTACATAGACAGATTGAGCTGATTCTGATCAAAATTGAACTTATTGAATTTCTAGTTGTTCAAAAAAGAAGCCAACAACCTAAGGGCTAGTACAAATAAAATGAATTTAATAAAGACACTACATGTACCTGTACGTCCATTATGTACATGTATAAGTAATGAAGGAACTGAAGTAGCTACTTGTACATGTACATGCAATTCTGTATATCACTCACTAAATTACAAGTTGCCTACGCAAGTAGAACTTACGTATATAACACATCAATTGCAATGGACTAGACATCCTCAATAGACACACTGATGGACATGAATAGGCATAACTTGACCAGTTACATTTAGGACCTCAACAATCAGTGACAAGCTAATTTAAAATTTGCTTCTCAAAAAATATTTATAAATAATTGAAAGAGAAAATATTAATAAATTATCAGCTACAAATGAAAATAATAACAATAATAATTATAGTTCTTGATGAGAGGGAGTGTGAGTTGATGAGGGAGAGGGAGGGAGACTTGTCTCTGTCATTGTTTCCTTTTGCAATCTTTTAATCTCATTATCATAGTCAACCCATTCATCAATGATACGTACTGCACTTGTTAACTTAGGCTCCTTTGTCATTGGATTATTACACTGAGAGAGAAAGAGAGACAGAAGAATAGGATAAAAGAGACACAGCCTGTTTGTCATAGCAAGTTAGTTCATAGAATTGCATGTAAAGCTAAATTTACAGTTGAAGTAAAAGTCAACATAGTGTGGGCAATCTGACTTTTTCACACTGAAATTGAAACAAAATTGGTAATTTTACATTGCATTTTG